CAACGACTGGATCAGACAAAGAAGAATGAGCACGAACCGCCGCATAAGCGGTATACATACCTCACTGATGTGCTATGTAGGGAAACGTAATACTCGTTTGCGACCCGTATGGTACGCCAGGGGGCGGGGACCAGATGCGACTGCCCCTTGTTCTGGCGATTAACTCGAGCTGTCAAGTATTGACGGGTGTTCTTTGGCACCATCGCCATATGTAGCCAAAGTTTCGCTACACCCGTCATAAAGCTCTTCAAATGACTAAAGCTTTGTTTATAACTAGTATAGAGAAAGAGAATAATTCGAAAACGGATAAATGTGTGTCGATATTTTAACAGCTAAAATCCTAGCGAGCGAGCCTTCAAACTGACTTTGGTTACGGCCCAGCAGGGCTCCCAAGCCTTTAGTTCTCTTTGTTGATACACCTCTCTAGAAGCTTCCTCCAAAAAAACGAATTTTTAGGTCGTATTACTGAGTTTCTTTTATTTTTTTTTTGTTTTTTTTTACTTCGGACTCTTATATTTACACACACGCGCGCACGATCCATATATACATACATCCGCGGAACCAGCTATCAAGCTGACATCGAACTCACTTTCCAAAAACAATGCTTGCTCTTCAACTACTTGGCGCCCCAAAGTCTTCCTCCCAGCCCACTCAATTACCGTACTACTCGACTAAGGTGTGGCCACATACTCACCAGGCTGGGAACTCTTACATACGTCTCGAAAATCCATTACTCTTCCCGGGCTTATCTTCTTTTCTCACATAACAACTCTGCAAACTTTTGACCCCCTTCCAGGGGACTCCTAGTCTAAATCTATCCTAGAAAGAAATCAAACTACTGCCATCTGCAACTAGCAGGTGGCCCATGGCCATGGTTCTAAGAGCTCTCTAAATACTATCGACATCTGTTGAATCAGAATTTTATTGAAATCACAGTGCTGAATCATGAATATTTGAGAATTTCTTAGAGTCGACCGAGCTTCGTCTTTTTGGTGGTGACTCCGCGCAGCTGCCAGTCGAGCGCGGACGGGCCCTTCCACGCCAACACAGCTGCACGAAGATTCAAAAAAACTGCTTGGAGACTGTTTACCAACCTATACCCGGGGCGAAACCACTCGCTGCTACCAGTAAGCTGGCGCGCGCAGCGGCTCGTGCTTGTACATCGTAGGCTAATGATTGACTAAGTTTTATTAAGAAAGTAATAGTTACAGCAGATAGACTTCGCAAGGCACGGGTATGAGCAGCAATAAACGAATAATAATAACACCACATAACAACTCGGAATACGAACAAAAGGACATAAACATAACACGACAGGAGAATACATATAAAGGCACCCAAAGGATGCGATAGGCTGATAAACAAGTCTGGGTGTCAGGGACCTCCTCCCAAGACGCTAGAGGACTGTGCAGAGAAAGACGGCTGTCCCTCGGTCAGACGTGTGGTCGACTCCCCGACAGCTTCCATCGTCCTCGCTCCGCCCTGAAATAGTCAGATGAGTCATGAGAGTCGCCTAACTATCGACACGCTTTCACCGCATCTCTTACAGCCCTGCTTCCTTAACACTCCCCCTAAATATAACCGCACGTCTCTCAGGTTTGTCACACCTATCTGCAATTATTCCCAACTGTCGGAAGCATCCTATGGTTGAATGTACCTCCTGCCTTATTGAGCTAATTCGTCTGTAGATGCGTCGTGCCAGAAGTACTTCTAAATGCAAAGCGACGATTTATTCACCGGGTAGTGATGCTTACATTAATTTCAAGGTCTATCAAAAGTTTAGTACCATTAGGAAGGCAATAATATAGACTACGTTGCGAAATGGAAGAAAGCGAAAGAATCGTTATGAACTCAGATGAAAATTGCTATCAGCGTCAGCGCGCGCTGTAATCATAATTTTGACGCACCCTGTCGGTCACCCCGCTCACTTCGCGCGCGGCGCAGACCACTGAGATCTCGAGATGGCTTTACAGTACCACTACGTGTCAGTAGAGCGAGTGATTTGCACCAGTCCATGTTATTTTCTCTTTACCTGACTGGACTTTCTTTTATGCCCCACTGACAACTGCGGCGTTCGTCAGAAAACGGCTGCTGCGTGACCTGGTTTCGATGGATGCACGGAACCAAGCGCACCCGGGAAATTAGATTAGATTTAGATTTAGATTTTTTTAGATTACTCAGACCTCTTGAAGCGCGAGCATGTATGAATGACATTAAGCAGATACATTTCAGTGCGGTTGAGATGCCGGTCCGTAAGAAACATGGACCCTATGATATTATCGCAGACGACCTCTACGACTGCCGTATCCCACTTCACAACGAACTTGCCTACCAGCACGGAATACACTTTGAAGCCAAGGTAAGAAAGTACAATGTCCAGGAACAACTCGGATATCAGCCTACTAAGCACGATACCTTTGATTGCAATTCGGCATGAAATAACTTTAGAATGCGTACATAAATGTTGAACCGAATCGCGTATACCCCTATAGATTTCGTCTCCGAAAGTATACATGTCTCATAAATGGTGCCATTCTGTAGACAGAATCACTGACTTTGACACCAGCTCAACTAATTTTCTAATTTTGATCCCTTCTTCAATGAGGAGCGGGTGTGAACATTGCAACAGGAGGTCCTCAGCAATTCCTTGAAACTTTAGATCGAGAGTAGCGGACTCGTTTTGAGAGGATACAGCTAGACAGCTTTCGATGGATATCCTTACACTTGACGAGTTGAACTTTCGGTGAAAGTTGTACGGTGGATGGGTTCGTCTCTGAATTACAATACACACATAATCACTACAACATTAACCACATGCGTATTCAGTATTTATGCCGTATACCGTATTTCAGTAACGTCTGTTGATTATAGTGTTTTGGTATTGCAGTCAGTAGCGGTGATTTCTGTTGAAGGCACAGTTCGCGATAACTTTAGGTTACCTAGTCTTATTGTTAGACGAGTAATGGAAACGATAGTTCAGAACAGCGCAAAAGTGGCAAGGAAAACGCGAAAGTCGGCGTATTTAAAGAAGTATAAGGTTACAAAAAAAGAAGTAAAGTCAGGGACTATACGAGAATATTACGAGAAAAGCTGCATGAGCTGTGTATTTGGACAAACTATTCCAGTGCGCGCGCCATTGCATACAGCTGGCTGCAGTACGCTGCCTGCGTGCAACGTATAGGTCCCAATGCGAATGTCGTAACCTATACAGCTTTGACAGTGCTTAAGAACTCGTCTGTTTTGTATGTGTGGCCGGCTAAGCCTATATGAGAGCCTTATTATGCCCTATCTTGACTGCTTTTCGACCCGACAGTGTCCCTTGGGCTGGCCTTGGGGGTCACAGGTTCATCCTAAGTACCGTTACTTGTGTTTCACATCATAATGCTGATCAACGATTTGTTGATAATTCAACAACATCAACAAGATCTCGAGCCTGAAGAGAGGCGAAATAATCTCGATAGTTTCCGCCTGCATCATTACTCCCTTGGTTAAGGTAGATTCCGCTCATCGTGAGCTCCCTCACGACACTCCTGCGCCGAGTGTCTTCATCGAAGACAGAAATTTTGTTACGATTAGGAAACTCTTTTGACCGGTGAGCGTGCATCAGCTGTCATCAGTAAACTTCCCTCACCGTCCATTCCGCCGAAATTCGCAGTCGATCCTCGGTTTTATTGCGCGAAATTTGGCTGTGTGGGGAGCCTCTGGCACCGAGCAGGCCTAACAGTCTCATTTAAATCGACCAGATAGAGGCTTAAACAATCAATGCTGATTACCGAATCAACCATTGCAACTATAAGTTGAATGTTACAAAAAAAATCAAACACATTGATATGTTCAAAAGCCAAATAATGTAATATAATGTAATACAATATTATTCGCACCTATCGCCGAATCTACTTGCTGTCTGTAATCTTCGAACTTTTCACGCAGTCATCCTGAACAGGACATTGACAGAATATTAGGTGATGGACAGCTGTACGAGTGGACAGGTTTTCGAGGTTAAGTACGATCACGTCCACACTGCTACAAGGCTCATTGAAATTTTGCGAGAATACAAGATGGCGTTATGTCTGACGCTCATCGATTTGAGCAAGTCTTCCGATACCGTCGAGACAGTAGTGATAATTGAGGCTTGGACAATTAAGGTAATTTTACTCAATACACACTAACTTCATGTGCTGTAAGACAACTTTATACCAGGATCCTGCCAGTCTATAAGGAATTCCCTGTTAATGTGGATAGAAGAGTAGACAAGACGATACCATCACGCCCAAACTTCTGAGTGCCGCTCTCGAGAACGTCATTAGTAGTGGGAAGACTCGAAAGCTAAGTCCAAGTTATTCTTGCATCATCTCGGCTTTGCAGACGACATCGTGCTTATAACCCCGAGAATCGAGCAGGCGGACCAATGCTGGCCTACTTTGACAGCGCTCGTGGGAAGATCGGTATAAAGCGGGACTTGCCGACGGTCTTATGTATGAGAAACAGATTGGTATCTGATGCTTCTTTTATGGTGAACGGAACGAATATCTCCGAATAATCTAGCTACGTAATCTAGGTCGAGAAGTCAACGTGATCAATGACCTAGCTCCGGAGCTGAACAAAAGGAAACGTGCAGCATGGATAGCATTCAAGGATGTCGCGCTCACATTCTCGACACTGCGGTCCTTCCTGCTTTGATGTACGTATCGGGGATTTATTCTACGAAAGCAGGATTCGCATGCGACCAGCGTCATTGAACGCGCTGTGGAAAGGACAGTGCTCGGAATTTCCCCATACGAGCAAGTGCAGACGGAGTCCTTATTCTCGAGAACCGTCAACGAACGGGGCTGGGATGCCGCTGCTCACGCCAAGAAATTTTTATTTATTTATTTATTTATTTATTTATTTATTTATTCGCACACCCCATTGAGTGCGCCTCAACTAGCAAATAGGCCACCCGGCGCCAATGTGAGAATAGAAAAAAATAAGAGGAGCAAATTATGGCATATACCAATGTCCAAATGCTGCAGTACTTAAGAGTGCAACGATGTAAGCTACTGGCTGATTAGCAAGAAATGAGCGGGCGAGTGAACATTTCGCTAGATTGGAAGCATCGAGATAAGCAGGCTTTGGCCATTGCCTGTGCAATACTGCCATGAAAGAGCTTTACGAAATAACAAAACAATATAAATCAAAGAGGGGAAATGAAAATAGCAAACGGATACCTAAGAGGCAGCGGCGACATAGATGACCAGTCGAGAGACTTCAACGACAACGGGTGTGGGAACTTGATTACGCTCAAGACAAATTTAGGTACGACTGTGATCGCTTCGTGTCTAGGTGCAAAGTAACCTCAGTCGTGACTAACCTTATCTTATTCACACGTCTCCCTTCGATTGTACCTGACCTCATCTTACAAGGAAGGTCTTTCAGGGCGTGGGACGCTTTTTAAAAATGGTTTTTTGCATGGTGTAGGAGCATGAGCACTGAGTACCCAGCTATGGTCCATTTCCGCTAAATGGCATTCTGAATGCCAAAAAACGAGTGGAAATGATTTTGTCAGAAATTGTTGTTCCAACCCATTAAGCGTCGTAGCCAGAAAAGGGAGCCACATGTTGAAATATGCTAAGAAGTGCGGGGAAGATTCATATGAGCGGTCCATGGTTGAGCTGCTGGAAGCGACGGATGGTGTGGTGGCTAGCGATGTGGACTTCGAGTTGGGAGGGCTAGGCTGAGTTGATGGTTCGGATCTCCGAGGCTTTGCCGTTTTTGCATTCTATGCTGCCACCTCCAGATTGGCTCCATATTGCACCGGGGCAAAGCTAGTGCCTGAGTGGTCATGGTCGTGACCAGGACCAGCGATAACCCCTACAAGTCGTTAGAATTTGATGTGTGGAGTACTATCAGTGGAGGAGCTTCCAGGCTTCACACACCCAGGAGTATGAAGGCGTCTCCACATTTCACATTATATAAGTGTTGTAATGGGGCTCAAAACCCTATAATATGGTTCCTGTTCGATGGAAGCTGTCCTCGACCTCGTTCTTCGAAGCAAAGACAATAGGATTCCCATATTCATTGTAGCTCTCGATTCCGACCTTTCTCTGGGGGCCAACCGCGGACTTTTGTGGGAAAACGAATCAGATTCTCTTCCACTTGTCTTCTTGCTGAAGCATCCATGAGCATCATGCTCGATATAAAATGCTGTCACCTCTGAAGGAAAACATTCTAGCGCCGGATTACTAGATTAATGACCATATGAAGGGTTTGGGCGATACCCGTTCCCAACAAGCGATCCCTAACTTCGCGTCCTGCCATGAAGGGCTGGCAGGATGCGGTGAAGAAAGACATTGCTGAACTGCAGAAGATACTGATCGTGAGGAGAGAAGGAAATGGTGATAACTAACCAGAGCGGTGGGCAGGAACCCTTCACCTCGCGAGGTCAAGGCCCGGGTGAAAAACTGTGAAATCATCGAAATTAGATGCACCTTTCAACAGTTTCGAAGGAATTCGGTTGAAACGATCAAACCATTACTGTCCAAATCATTCGAAGAATTGTGTGGACTGTGCGATGTCCATACAATGTTCGAAGACCAGATGATATGTAATCGAGTTTGTTGGCTACCGAAATGATATCATACCAATTTACCAACATTTTACCAACTGAATAAACTTTCGATTTTAGGGATGCAAAAACAGCCGAACTGTTGAAAAAACTACGGAGGAAGTCGAGGAGGAGGGGGGGGGAAGTGGGGACTCCTGGGTGAGTGAAGCCTGGAAGCTCTCCGCTGATAGTGCTCCACACATCAAAGTCTAACGACTTGTAAAGGTTATCGCTGGTCCTGGTGACGACCATGACCACTCAGGCACTTGCTTTGGCCCTGGTGCAATTTAGAGCCAATCTGGAGGTGACAGCATAAAATGCAAAAACGGCAAGGCCGTGGAGATCCGAACCATCAATCCAGCCTAGTCGTCCCAACTCGACGTCCTCATCGCTATCCACCACACCATGCGTCGCTGCCAGCAGCTCAACCGTGGAGAGCACATATTCGAACATAAAATGCGAGACTCACACATGCTGTCTCTTTAGAACAAAACGGAACACTCATTCGATTTGAAACCAGAGAAACAAGTTTTTTTCTACCCATTTTTTGGGTTGCTTCATATGTGTGTTGAGTTTTTGGCATGTCTGTTCCAAGACGATTTCACTTGGGGGTGTGTACGTTTCAACGTTGAAGATAAAAGAGCGTTAGAGAACCAACGTCGGAAAGTTTTTCAATAAGTGGGTGATAGGCGATAAATAGGTGATTGGAAATGTGAGCCCAAACAAAAACCTGACATTGATTAGCAGCAGAAAACGGTTTAAGTACTTTCGTTCGGAGAGGAGCATGTTTTGCAAAAAAAAGAACATCAACGGGAACATCCCGGATAGGGAAAGCACTGCCACTGCACAACGACGACCCTTGAGACCTGTGCGGCATCATGATATCAAGTGGCATTATTTTGAGCATGCAATTTAGATCGCTCATAACTTTTTGGTGGACTCATTCAGCAGCTTTAGCTTACAAATCTGTTAATAGCTTTTCAAACCCTATCGATATACCTAGATATCTATTCGAAGTTCATGGGGAGCTGAGACCCTTCCCTGGTGTCGTGATTGCGTACGACTCTATTGAAGGGTCGCGCCTGGTCTGGCGTGCGCGGGTCTAGCGCGCCGTCAAATACACAACGAAATGCATTGCCGGTCCTAAAATGTTATGAGTCGTATCTGCAGCGTAAATCGGCTGGATCGTATGCGTCGTATCGCCGTATTCCTCTTCGTCATCAATGCTATCGTACGGGAAGGCTACTTCTCTATTATTGTTGCCATAGCGTCTGAATATTGCCCTCCCTATTCGGCTGAGCTATCGTAACGAAGTTGAGTCAACTATGAGGAGAGCGTCAGGGCATGGATGCTCATGGATGGAATGGATAGTGTAGTAGGCGTAAGACGTCATGAGTATATGCTTGTTTGTTTCGACGGACACAAGGGTAGTCATGAACTTATGGCTACTGCTATTTGTATGTTCATACCATATTTCTATTGGGCTTCCGCACCGTGATCAGGACCTCCTGCCAGGATCCCGATGCGAGATTGGACGGGAAGGGAATTGGTGCAACAACTGGTCATTCCCGTTCAGACTATCTGACTACACTGCAACGGATGATAAGTTTCTGAGTGAAACTATCTTAATAGCTCTCGAACAATGCGATACTTTCTTGCTGAACAGGGAAAACATTTATCGCCACTCTTGAGTGCTGGGCGAACGCAAGTCTCGTGTGCTTCTAGTAGTAACCACAGAATCTGCAATTTATTCGAGACCCTCCGTCTGGAATTTTCGCGCAAATGCGCGAAAATTCCAAATGGAGGGTCTCGAATAAATTGCAGATTCTGTGGTTCGCCCGACAGAACACCGATTTATAGTGATAACCGAAACAAAGCTTGTCGCCAAACATGAAGCCAAGGGTATCGGAGAGCCTTTTAGCTGAGAGCCCAGCCACTCGACAGAGAGCAGTGACCTCGACAAAATCATTTTCACTCCTTTTTCGGCATTCAGAAGGCTATTTAGCGGAAATGGACCATAGTTCTGTACTCAGTGCTCGTGCCCCTACATCATGCAAAAAACCATTTTCAAAATGCATCCCACGCCCTGAAAGACCTTCCTTGTTAGTTATGAGAGTGATGGCGAATGATGAAATTTATAAGAATGTGAAACTTTAGAAAAATGAATTTTTTAAACGCATAATTTTGATCGTCTTCTGCTTGAAGAGTTTTATTACCACACAAGATAGGAGAAACTCCAACGAAAAAAATTTCATTAGAATGTAAAGAAGCATCATTTTCCTGATAACAACTATCTTAAAACACTAATCAAATAACTGAGATGGTCTTGTTCGTAACGAATTTGGATATCTTTATGCAAAAGGTACGAGTTGGAGCGACTGGGTAGGTGCGGAAGCAGCATAGTACAAGGGTAGCGGTGCGAGTTAGCGTTAGCGGACGTTGTATAGGTACAGAAATAGCAGTAAATATTATAGTTGTGGCGCACGTTCGAGCTGCATTGCTGTAGGTTGCGTCGGTACAGAAATATTATAGTAAAAGTGTTGCGATGCGGATTGGAGCGGCATTGAAGCTGAAGGGCCCTCGTGAAATCTCAGAAGCAGTAGAATGTGTCGTCAGAATACAATGTGAGTTCTAGGCAAAGCTTCTTTTCTATGGTCAGTAGTTGCATATAAATCACTTAGCCACAGGTTAAGTAGAATCTGATGACCTCTCTTCAATGTAACGGATTTAGTGTAGTGTTGTAATGTCTCGTGTGTAGCGTGAAATGGCTTAATTGAAAAACGAGATGCCCCGATATCAAATAACTACGCCGCTTGTAAATGTTGTTTGATATCAGAGATGAATTTGAAAAAAGACCAAGTAATATTTTTTTACATCTTAAACGAATTTCATCTTTGGGTCTACCGAATTTCTGTATTCTATATGGTAATAGAACTTTTAAAACCGCAGATGTTGAAGTATGATATGATCAACCATTAATAATTTTGCTCGGATAAAATATAGCAGACGCTCTTAAGGCGTTCTCAGCGTTCAAATCTAGAAAGAAATATTCCATTTTGAATTACCACTGCGTACCCTTCCCTTGCTAGCGACGCCCACCTCCAGTACGTTATCCTTGCTGGGAAATCTCGAATGTCCTTTTTCCGGGAGCCTTTGCCAGTTTTCCCCGGCTTCTAGTTCGGTCTTGATTGGTTTGTCTGGAAGGATGGTAGAGTTAGTCGGTCTGGATGAGTATCGACCTGAGGAATGAATATTGAAGCATATAGTATGGTGGTCGAGCTTGTTGGGCCCAGCGTGCGCTTCAGATCGTGTGGTACTGCGCAATTCGTTATACCCTTCTTGAATATGGCTCAAAATCCCCTAAGTTGTTCGGTTTCGCGAATAACTTGTGCTCATCTCAACTAATTCACTTCCTCGAGCATTTCAGAAAGTAACAGTTTTGATACCGATACTCAGCTTCTACCTTGATCGCTTCTCGAAAGAATCCCCTTATAGCACAGAGACATGCAGCTATTTCTTTGTAGGAGTGAAGCCTCGCCATTGATCCTTCTCTTCAATGTGGTGCTCAGGTCATTTCAGGTTTTATAACATGGTATGAGGAGGGCTGATTGCTTAGATTAATTGGGAAATGATCGCACAGGTAGTTATCCCATATTTAATTTTTTGAGAAGTTCAAACCGCAGGCTCGAAGAAACGAGCACAATTAATGGTGTGGAAAGATGCTTTCGAAGGGAACAGTTTCAAAAACTTGGAAATCTTGAGTTGTTCCGCACACAGGGATGGGAGGCGCAACGTGCACCGAGGAGCTCGAGTATTCTGATACATATTCCTCAGGTGGTTCCTTTCCAGTTGAAAAAGCAAGAGAGCTCAACTCGCTTCTGTAATTGACTTGCCGCTGGGTTTTTACTTGGGTTCATATTGTGACACCCAAAAGAACTGATCACTGAATCACTTTCGTTTTGCTGTGGGATTTTTCATAACATTTAAAGAAAGCATTCTGACTCCGTGCTATTAGAAAAAGTGTTACTCTTCCAAGGATTTGAAAAATAACTCACAGTGACGGAATAAGAAAAAGGCGAACAACTAATAATGGTAAAATCTTCACAGAGTCTTTTTCCACGTATTCCACCCTTTTTTCATAAATAACCAGGTTCAGATTTATACGTTCTAGTAAGGTATAGTTTCCAAGTAGCTGATTTGGTTCGAAAGGTTATGCAACATACATATTCATTAGTTAATATGTATTCTCAGCGTAATAAGTAGATGTATGACAAGCTCCACTTCCAGTACGTGGGTAGCATGGAAATTCCGCGACCTGGCACACGTATTGAAATTGTCGCAGCGATGCGGCGAGTTAGGGTGAGTTGTTCGTTTGATACATGAGCTGAGATTTTGTTTTTGATTATCTAGGCTTATTTTGATTTAGATGTCTAGTTTCACTTATCTACACTGTAATTATGTTTCAGTACGAGTTTAAAGCTCGGGGCATCAAAAAGCGACCGGTTGATATCACGGTTTCTGTGGATGGAGTTAAGGTTGTTCTACAACGAAGAAAGGTAGATCTCTTCCCTACTCCAGGCTTCAAATTTCGAAGCGATTCCATGTATACTCAGTATATGTCAACGGAAGAGCTATTTTCAGCAGAAGCAAAAGGGTCTTTCGTGGGATGAGTCGAAATTGCTTGTGATGTTTCACCCCATATATAGGTAATTTGTTTGTGGAAATTGTGTTTCTCCAACATTCGCCTCTTATCTGAGGAGAGTTTCTATCTCCCATTAGAGTTCAATGGCGACATAGGTGGATTGATAGAGACTGGAATACTCGCTGCAGACTACGGCGGTCGGAGCTGCACCCTAATTCTACTAAACAAATTCCCACACACACACAATCACTAGTCTCCTACATATGCTGTAACACGTGGATTTGCTCCTGTTTATTTGGGATACTTTCGCATAATCTGGACACTGGATACAAAGCTTTTATACGATTCTTGGCACTTGAGTGGTTCGGGTTACAAATACATCTCGCGCTTCTTATATTGACCGCTCACAACTTGCTACATAGATTTAGGCAATTATTTCGAATTATGGATTCCTTTCTGAGTTAGCACCCTACTTTTGCGGTTTCTTTGGGGATCAGAGCGGTTTTCATTTTCCTTGTAGAATTCCACTGCCAAAATTCGAGAGTCTGGCTTTTGATGATGTCTTAGCAGACCATCTATGCCTGGGACCCCATTGAATTTTCATCACGGGTTAGCTTGGTTGACTTTCGTGAAATGCAGGAAGCTCAGATCTGGGAATGGGAAAATATCGTTTTATAATGTCTCAGGCATGGAAAGGAATTGAAAATTTCTCTTATTGGGAAATTTTACCATCGAAATTTCATAGAATCTTTACGGGGTTGAAGTTCGATCAAGAATCGAACCTCTTTGTTTTTGAGATTGCAGGTATATTCAAGTGTAGTTACATGACTTATATGAAGCATGGGGATCGTAGTAGTTAGCATCGAACATAGCGATTCGTGAGCGCAGGCCATTTCAAGTATCTGATGTGCAATTTCATTTTGTTGGTTTCCGATTTTATCTGTCACCTTGTAGAACTTCGTACAGGTGATCTTGGTTGTACACAGAGGTGGACCGCTCAGATAAGCAGGCGATCCGTCTCATGGATCGTTCAAGATATTAAGAATAGTTACGTATTTCAGTTGTGAGTCTACTTTGAAACTTGTTTTCCGCAAAACGAGATGTGTTCCAGCAGTATTCTCGAAGTACTGTGTATCTGGATTAGGTGTGGTGTGGGGGCGGATAGAGCGCTACCACACACGCATGATCCAAGTTCTAATCTCGGATCGATACTTGCCCAGATTGACTGACCCTTCCATCCTTCTGGAGCAACTAATCTGTACCAGACACACACACACACACACACACACACACACACACACACACAC